TCTCTCTCTTAGTCTCTCTCATTCTCTCTCTCTCTCTCTTAGTCTCTCTCTGTCTCTCTCTTAGTCTCTCTCATTCTCTCTCTCTCTCTCTCTTAGTCTCTCTCATTCTCTCTCTCTCTCTCTTTATCTCCCTCTTTCTTTCTCTCTCTCTGCTCGCTGCGCGAGATTTCTCGAAAGAACGATGCCTGGGCCAGCCGGTTCTACCGTTCTACCCGGAAATTTACCGACGCGACGGCCGAGCGGAAAAAGTTTGGCAGCGGCCGGTCAGCCTCGGCCCAAATATCGAACGCAGAGGAATCGATACCGAGAGCGAACCCGTTGCCAAAATCTCCGCGAGACCGGAAGCTTTCGAGGATGTTACTTGGAGAGCTTTGTCAAGGGTGCTCCAGCTTCTCTCCTTAACCTGACTGCTCGCGGTTACCGTCGCGGCCTGTCGGTAACCCTAGAAACCTAAAGAGAATACGATTGTCTTCCTTTCGTCGTTCTCCCATCTGAATTCATTTGAGACCACGGGGTCTTTTATAAGCGCATAGGCGTCTTCGAAACTTGTTAATCTCATCCGACCATCGCAATAATATACTCTGAATCTCGAAAATACAGAAAATACGATAATGGGAGACCTATCTCGTACAAAATATTGTTACAATTTTATGTGTTTCTTTCTCGTGCTAATAACTTCCGGCAACTATAAAAACGAGCCGCATTGTCCATTTTTGTGTACAAGCTGAGGTACAATTTGGGAGAATTTTCTGTACTTCGTATTGACAGAATAAAAGCTCGCAAAATCTCCCAAAAATTGCAGAATAATATGTGAGTAGAGTCTCCCTTATCCGCACATTTATTTCTAAAATATTTTTCTATCCAACTGTTCTATTTTCGAAGCATCGTATTATCACTAGTCTGCGGATCTTTATGCAATTATGGCAGAAATAGTCGGATGAAATGCAAAACTGCGACAACATTAAGGGACATTAAATATACGATTACAATATTGTTGATGTACTAGAACTATTGGAAGAAGGAAAACATTCTTATCGAACTCCTGTTTGTTATAATTAACGCGTAACATTTTTATTTCGCGCAAAGATCCGCGGTCGAGAATCTAGCGTAAAAAAGGATGCAATTTTTCGATAATAAAATATTTTGGCATCGGAACATTACGAAGACTAATCTTCAGATAACAGAGGCTCAAAATTGACGCCAGGGGCGGATCAATTGCAAAATTCGAGGGGTTTTTAATCATCGAAACCGACAGTGAGAAATGCAGAGTTTTCATCGGTTTGCTATTCTCTAAGAAAAGCGCTTCGCAGAAAGTTCGAAGTAAAGATGTTCATCGGTTTGCTGTTCTTAAAAAAAATTATATAATATATATAATTATATAATAATTATATAATATCGAAATTTTTCGATAGTAAAATGTTTTGACATCGGAACATTACAAAAACAAATCTTCAGATAATAGAGGCTCAAAATTGACGCCAGGGGCGGATCAATTGCAAAATTCGAGGGGGTTTTTAATCATCGAAACCGACAGTGAGAAATGCAGAGTTTTCATCGGTTTGCTATTCTCTAAGAAAAGCGCTTCGCAGAAAGTTCGAAGTAAAGATGTTCATCGGTTTGCTGTTCTTAAAAAAAATTATATAATATATATAATTATATAATAATTATATAATATCGAAATTTTTCGATAGTAAAATGTTTTGACATCGGAACATTACAAAAACAAATCTTCAGATAATAGAGGCTCAAAATTGACGCCAGGGGCGGATCAATTGCAAAATTCGAGGGGGTTTTTAATCATCGAAACCGACAGTGAGAAATGCAGAGTTTTCATCGGTTTGCTATTCTCTAAGAAAAGCGCTTCGCAGAAAGTTCGAAGTAAAGATGTTCATCGGTTTGCTGTTCTTAAAAAAAATTATATAATATATATAATTATATAATAATTATATAATATCGAAATTTTTCGATAGTAAAATGTTTTGACATCGGAACATTACAAAAACAAATCTTCAGATAATAGAGGCTCAAAATTGACGCCAGGGGCGGATCAATTGCAAAATTCGATGGGGTTTGTAATCATCGAAACCGACAGTGAGAAATGCAGAGTTTCCATCGGTTTGCTATTCTCTAAGAAAAGCGCTTCGCAGAAAGTTCGAAGTAAAGATGTTCATCGATTCGCTGTTCTTGAAAAAGAAAAAAAATGCGCTTTGCATAAGTTCGATAAGCCGGTTTCGACGAGCGTCCATCATGTGACTGGTAAATGTTTCCCGATTGATTCCTAGCGTCGGTTGGCCGGCGAGCGTGGCTCGCGTTAGGTGAAAACCAGAACAGAACGGCTGAACAGCAGGAAACATAAATTCCGGGTTCGCCGATTCTTGGAAGGGAATCTGTGTTTATTGGAATTTATTGTTATCAGTCCTGACGCGTGGAACGCTTCCATAATTTTATGAGGCCGCTCCAGAAGCGTTCAACAAGTACCATGAGCGCATTAAATTGAAGCGGTAACTCGAACTATCCTCGATCCATCGTTCCCGATACTTCAGTTCTGCGCTCGCCGGAGACACCTTCCTGTCTGTTTAGTGCCGGTCACTTATCTCAAGTTATAGTGATACTGACCGACTTTTTACGGCCACAATCCGTTTAAGTGTTCCTGGAAACTCATTCACCGGCTCGCTCCGACTCGGCGACCGAAGCTTAAACGGCAGTGCCGTTTGTACCCACGGCGATAATTGCGCGGCACGTTATTCGCGATCATCGGATGGCCGTTCCGCGTTTAATGATAACTAGATTGTAAGTAGACTACCCGCGCACGGCTCTCGTCCGATGCAAATTCGAACGGTCCGCCGCGCGCCGTGGCGATCGGCGAAAGAAGGAAATCGACCGTCGACTCTCCGATCGTTAACGCTATCCGATAGTTTATTTTGTTCGACGGAAATGCATAAAAGCGGCTCAGTGAAAATAAAACTCACAGCTGGGAGATTACGATCCACCAGATACGAACGTTCACTTACCGTGAAGGTAGATCGCATAATTTTCACGGCTAGCCGAAGATGGGAACATCGGACATCCTTCTATTCACGAACTGGACCCTGCGCAAAAATTAAAATAGACGTCAGACACGGCGTTGTAAATGCTTGCGAGCAGTTCGATATCGAATAGTCGATATCGAAACGGATGGAGAAATTGGATTCGTAATGAGCGGACTGCAAATTGTATGCATAAAATCGGTGCTCTAAAGACTGAGAACAGTGGAAAGATTCAGAGGAATTAACCCTTTGTACTCGAGCGGTGATCCTGAGGCACCACTAAAATTGTTATATCACGTTCTAAGATCATTTTCATATCATCGAAGCTTAAATTTTAAACATTATTAACCCTTAGCGCTTCGAATGCTCCGCTACGGAGACATTTGTCATTTGTTATCTGTAAGCAATTGTTATCTGTAGTTAAAACGTGCTAAGTCTGTACCATTACGATTAAACCACTTTTTGACCTTTTCTATGGTTAGCAACATGGAGAAAAATAAATATTATGATGTGAATTTAGAGCCGAGTGATACCGAAGACGTATTTGATTTTCAAGAGTTAAAAGACATTGTGGAAGACAATTCTGACACTTCGAGTAGTAGTAGCGAAATTATACTACCAAAGTGACGAAGAATGAGAATTATTGAAAGTGAAAGCGAAGATTCGTTACAAGAATTAGGTGAATGGCGTGATGTTACGGAAGAATTACATATTCCAGATAGAATACCTTTCAGCGTATTGCCACAGGTCATTTGACCACAAGTTCCTACAAATATTGAACAGCCGATACAATATTTTTAATTATTTTTCACGGACGAATTGGTAAATGAAATTATAAAGGAAACCAACGATTACGCAGAAAATGTTCTAAACTTGAAAGAAATATCTAGTAACTCCATTTGGCATAGTGAATACTGTGGCACTTGTTCAAGTAAACCCAGAATGCACATGGGAGATTGTTACCAAAGATATCGCACCATGGTGAGTTACAAAATTAAAAATTTATCTTTTATTTACAATAGGAGAATGTATATTTATAAAATAAATAAAATATCAAATGCATTCGCAAGGACGTGTAATCTTTTCCGCTCAAGATATGACTTCCCGCTCCAAAAATGTGCCGGAGTTGCTGGTAGGCAGTACTCGAGAAACGCGCGGAGCGCTAGGTGTTAATTTATCCTTTAGTTTGTAAACAAAAATGGACAATTTGGGAAGAGGGAATACGATTATTCGAGCTTCGCGTCTCGTTTTTGTAATTGTTGACAATCGGCAGCTATAAGAATGAGCCGTGACGCTCGAATAATCGTATTGTTACGGTGACTTGTCCAAATCAAGTCGCTCTAATATGAAAGTGGCCTGTTGTGAACAACTTCTTAAAAAATAATGGAAGATAGGGGTTGTCACGGAAGAGTGTTATACAACAGACAATCGAAGTGTCGAGATCGGACCGTCGAACGATCAACGTTTCAAATTCAAAGATCTGTAACATAATTGAATTGAGTTGTGTTATAATAATGTCATATCAAAATATGACTTCCTTTATCTCAGGCGCTCCGCTCGAAAAATGTGTCGGAGTTGCTGGTAGGCAATATTCGAGAAACGCGCGGCGCGCTAAGGGTTAATAATAATGATAGTAATTCATTTGCATATGTATACGGGACGACCATTTTCGAACCTGTTAAGGTAAAAAGGATCGCACGAGTATACCTTTGAAAGAGTTAGAAGAACGTAGAATAAACAAGAATAATAGTAATTAGACCGCAGATTTTTAAGCGAAAGGAACATTGACCGCATTAATTTCAAGATACAGAAAGCGCATAGAAATTTCTTTTTTGGATTACATCATTGTGTTGAGCATAAGGCAACGGAAAGTGTAACTGTTGTATGAATCGCGAGACTCAATTTCGTATGCATAAAATGCACTTTCTCCTGCAAAATGGGAATACTGTAAGTCGGAAAAATTATTTTTAGATTTACAGTTAAAACAGCTTCGAGTGCGAAGGGTTAAAGAATCATACGATAAGGTACACAGTTTGTAGAAACATTCTGATTTATTAAACACACGTTTCGTTGGAACAAACAATAAATCCAACAGTGCCGAAATTGATTCGTTCTATAACATCTATATCATTTATCTCGAAATAAATTAATTATAACATCCAGCAATCGTTGATCGTTGAACGGATTGCTTCTTGTCCAACTCCGCGAGCGCCAAACGTGAATAACAGGCGAGCCGAGAAAATAATTGAGTGTCCCAGGCGACAAGCTCGGCGCAAACTGCCAACGGAAAAATCGCTCGAGCTCCATCGAAAAGTTTGAGAATGTTGGTTGATCCGAGGCCAGGATTTCTACGCCGGACGGACGTCGCCGCGCCGCGCGCCGGCTGGTTGGCGACTGCAAAAACTGGTCGCCGAAGATCCGCGAAGATGGCCCTCCGTTGATGAGTATCCGATGATGCTTGCACGCAGAGTGGAACATCGGTCTGGCATGGAAATTGCCGGCGAGAATGATCGATAATAGTTTTTTGCGGTGCGCGGCCCGGCTCGGCTCGGCTCAGCTCGGCGCGGCGCTCGAAGAGGGACCGGCTCCCGAATGCAGTTTTGATAAGATCGATAGGCCTCTGTTGCAAAAGCCTGGGGACGCGTCTGCTGCATCGTCGCGGCTCGCGCGGTGTGTAATACTTTGACGCAATATACACACGAATTTATTACGCGGCGCAGGTAGATTTAAGTGCATAATGATACGCCGCGCGGCGAGTTTGTAATTATACGGGCTCGCCGTTTCATGGCTGCCGTATTGTGTGCGGAAGATATCACGGTTTTATCGACTTCCTCCTCCCGGGGCCCCACCGACGCCGGAGAAAGACTCTCTCTCTAGCTCTCTCTCCTCTCCTCTCCTCTCTGTCCGCCCTTCGCCGTCGTCACCGAGCCGCTCGTTCTTCACTGCAATTATTCAAAATGGAACCACGAACGCGTCGGCCGGCTTGTATCGAGCATAAATATCGTTCCCGAACGCAGAGACCGGCCCACCGCGCCGACGTTTCGCGTGCTAATTCCTTCCTGGTGCGCGGGGCTAATGATATCGTCCGACGCTATCAATTATCGTCGTCGTGGGTTTCCCCGGGCGTCGCGCGGACCGATCGTCGTTTTCCTTCTTCCTCGCGATCGCCTCGACGCTCTCCGCGTCACCCGATCTTTTAGCTGCGCCGCGGAACCTGATTTACCCGATTTTTTGCAACCTCGAGCATCCCTTCTGGAAGCTCGTTCGAATCGCGGCTCGCTAGCTGTCCCAATTGCTGCGCCTTTGAGACGATTTCCTGTTCGCCGAAGCTGTCATTGAATATACAGTAATGTCTCCCTTACTGGCGCTCAGATTGTCCACGAAAATGGACAATTTGGGGAGAGGAACTTTGCGAATTCGAGCCTCGCGACTCGTTTTTATAGTTATCGATTTTCAACAATTATTACAACGAGCTGCAAGGCTCGGATAATCGTGTATCTCCTCTTCCAAAATTGTTCATTTTTGTGGACAACCTGAGCGTCAATTAGAGAGACATTATGGTACTCGAATTTTCGTTCGATGCACTAAAGATATAATTTCGATTTTTCAAAGGTCTCTGTCTTTTGAAATATTTCTCTGCGCGACGACGATTGGACATTTTTTAACGTTTGTAACAAAATAAAGCCAACGGAAATTGGGTCAAGCATAGAAATTGAGACGGGCGCATAAATTGGGAGAGGCGCAGAAATTTGAACATCTATCCTGAGTCATTTTTAATTTTGATTTTTCAGAGGTTTCTGTCTTTCGAAATATTTCTCTGCGCGACGACGATTGGAAATTTTTTAACGTTTCCAACGAAATATAGTCAACGGAAATTGCGACAAGCATAGGAATAGAGACGGCCATACAAATTGTGAGGGGCGCAGAAATTTGGATATCTATCCTGAGTCATTTTTAATTTCGATTTTTCAGACGTTTCTGTTTTTCGAAATATATCTCTGCGCGACGACGATTGGAAATTTTTTAACGTTTCCAACGAAATAAAGCCAACGGAAATTGCGACAAGCATAGAAATTGAAATGGGCATATAAATTGAGAGGCGCAGAAATTTGGACATCTATCCCGAGTCATTTTTAATTTCGATTTTTCAGACGTTTCTATCTTTCGAAATATTTCTCTGCGCGATGACGATTGGAAATTTTTTAACGTTTCTAACGAAATAAAACCAACGTAAATTGGGACAAGCATAGAAATTGAGACGGCCATACAAATTGTGAGAGGCGCAGAAATTTGGCCATCTACCCCGAGTCATTTTTAATTTCGATTTTTCAGACGTTACTGTTTTTCGAAATATATCTCTGCGCGACGATGATCGGAAATTGTTTAACGTTTCTAACAAAATAAAGCCAACGGAAATTGCGACAAGCACAGAAATTGAGACGGGCACATAAATTGTGAGAGTCGCAGAAATTTGAACATCTATCCTGAGTCAGTTTTCGGCCACGAAGTTAATATTCTAGAGCCGTTTTCTCGGGGATGGTCTTCCTTCTCCGACTTCGGCGGACGCTGCATTCTAATTTTCAATCGAAGCATCGCGATTGGCGCACGATTCGAGAGCCTACGGCAGGACCCGTTTCGCGGGAATCGGTATTCGAGGAATCTCGAGGCTTGATTGCGGCGATAAATCGCGCGCAAATCGAGCGCTCGAAGGAAGAAAGTCGGGATAGATATATATTTTATACGGTTAGGTGATTTGTTCAAACACTCGCGGCCGCGCGCGGTGTGTTCGTGTATTAACCCGACCCGGCCATTACACGCGCGCATCGCCGCTCCAGAGCTAGACCGGAGTCGTCTAACGCGGAAGTCCTCGTTCGAGAGGCACTCTCCATCCGCGATATCCTGGATGAACTTTATGTCGGATTATGTGAACACCTTTTGCCCCTGGAGAAGGAGCCGGCAGGATGCTTGCGTTAAGAAACGGTTAATTTAAAGAATATGAGCCGGCCCGCGGCTTCCTCTCTTGCGTTTATGGCTCGTAAAAATGCTAGCCAAACAAAACTAAG